TATTTTTCTAAAAGAATTATTTTAATTATAAAGTTATTATAAAATTTTTTTCTAATTAAATTTTATTTTTAATTAGAAAAAATTTTTATAAAAACTTTATATTAGAATAATTCTTTCAGAAAAATTTAAAAATCTGAAAATATATATATTAAATTATAATTTATAAACTTTATTTTAATATAAATTTAACCTTCTGATTTTATAATTATAAAAGTTATTATATATTTATTTTTTATAAAAATTTTAAAAAAATAAATTTATATTTTTTATAATAATTTATAAATTAATATTTTAATTTTTATAATAATTTATAAATTAATATTTTAATTTTTATAATAATTTATAAATTAATATTTTAATTTTTATAAAACTTGAAAAAAAATATTTAGAATAAAATTAAATTTATTATAAAAATTATATATTTAACTTATTATTATAAACTAGTTTTTTATTAATATTTTACAAAAAAAAATTTTTTAAAGTTTATAAAATAATTTTTTATATTTAAAATATTATAAAACTTTTATTATAATATTATAAATAAATTTAATTATTATATAAAGATTATTATATTAAAAAAAATTAACTTTATAAAATAAAATATTTAAAAATATTAATTAATAATTAATAAGTATTTTATATTTTTTATTAATTATTATAATTTTAAATGCTTTTTTGATTTTTATATATATTAAAAAAATAAAGTATATTTTTTATATTTTTAATAACAATAACAAAAAAAATCAGAACTTTTACAGATCAATATTAATTATATATTACTTATATTACTAATTATTAATCACATAATTCTCATTCTATAGTTATCATACTTGAAAAAGCAAAATTGAATGATTAAGGAGATGTGTGATTATAAAGAGATTTTCTTAATTATAATTAATTAGTAACTGAAAAACTTTAAAAAAATAACTATAAAGAGATATAACTATAGAGAGATCTGACTGTAATTCAATAAATATAAAAATAATAAATAATTACTACCTAATACTATATTACAAAATAGTAAATAAAAATAAATATATTATTATATTAATTTATCTATTATTTTTGCATGTCATATATTACTGAGTCTTGAGATAATATGCCTCTAGAAATTCTAGTCACAACAAAAAAAGGTGACTATTCATGTGATTTTTGAGATAAACCAATCAAATATGAAATATTATAATATTTTAATTACAGTGAGAGTAAGAATTAGGCTCAGAGTTATGATTATATTTCAATTTCCAAATATATAGTAAAATTTCACTAGGAATATTTTTTGCAATTTCATAGGGAGAATTTCGAAATACATATACAAGTTATAAAGATAAACTTTTTTGAATTTTTTCATTACACATTGATCTTTGTTTTATCCCTTAAAAATCACATGAACAGTCACTTTTTTTGCCATGGCTAGGTTACTTATGAGCCTCAAAACGACGTGATTACTTTAAAATGGACACACCAGGGCATAGGATCGATTTTCGTTTACGTGATAATCCGATCGTTCATTTTGAAAGATCGGGTATATCGCAAAAATTAACTATCTTTTATGCTTTTATAAAAGATTTTCCTTGTTACGAAGTTTACTACGCTGCATGCGTAATTATAATCTGTGCTCGGTTCCTAATCACATGATAATAAACCAATAAGAAAGCGCTAATCATATGTGAGCCGGCAACAATTAAAAGGTGATTTTTCATTAGGGTTATAGCTAAAGCACAGAACTGTGATATAAATTATATGTAAAATTATCTCATCGTTATTTTTTAATAGTGCTCCAAGATAGATTTTGATATCGGTTTTTTGCATTTTTCATTTACTTGCGAGTCAGGTACATGTCCGAGCACAGATTATAATTAAGCCCGCTACATGAATAAATTTTAACCCATGTGCTCATCATGTGAATGGAAAAGATCCTGTCAATTTTCCTTTAAAATGACTATATGGACTGGTTTTGAATCGAAACCGATCATGTGGTGCGGGTGACATTATACATGTATATATATATCGATATTGATTTATTAATCACTTTTTAATGTCGTAAATATTTAATCTAATAAGACGTTATTTTAAAGAAAAGTGAGTTTCAAATCTATTGATGGTAGACGATGAAGAAACTTATCGTTTAAGTTGTTTTAGTTCAAGTTTTGATTTCTAGTATCTTCTTTAATTTATAATATAAAATTTATCAATAAAAATATTTGGGAGGACTATTTGAATATAAGTTGAGAATAAGCGCCCATATTATTGATGTTGAACATGTATTTAAGAGGTCTGATACGACGAAATCCTGAAGGAACAGCATCGAATGATCGAAATTGAATGAACGACTCTCGAATATATGAAATTTTAACATCCCAAATGGATGTCGTTCGTTCGGAATGTCATGCTTATGAACGGTCGAGATCGCGTTTGTCGGGATTTTGAAAGTTATCGATATTATTCGGGCTATATAGGCTTATAAAACAGAATTTTATTAACATTTGTCATATCAGATCTGGAATTTGGATTTAGGTAAACAGATTTTATTCTCTTGTTGAATTTGATCCTTTAGATCAATATATTAATTCGTAAAAATTTAGGATATGGCAAAACAATATCCCAATTTGTATCGCCAAGTCATCAAACTGAAGGTCTTTCTCCAAATGTGGAATTTGTCCAATATAACTTATTGGATGTATTACTATATGAGAATTCGTCTTTTGATTTGTTCACGAAAAATTCATGATAGGTGCTTTTACGCACACACAATGGGAAAAGAAAGTTATCACAGAAATTATAGGCCAGATGGATGGGTCGAAATCTTAGAAGTTAACATTGGTCATACAAATAGAATCACAAAAGCTTTTAAGTAAAAGCCATTTTTATCTTTAATTAAATAACGAATTTTATTTAATATTTATTTTTTAGTCCATAATTGAAGGGGATGAACTGCAGAATTGGAGAAGATATTCCGCGCCTTTTTGAAATTACGAACGCATTTTCATTTTTTTGACTTTGTATTTTATAACTGATAGAATATGTATTAGATGTCGCAAATAAGAATGAGCTCTGCAAAATAAAATAACCAGTACGACAAACGAAATTTTGATTTTTCTAATAAAATTTCTCGAAAACTAACTGGCAAAAGTCGAGTCTTTATGTCTCGACGGTTCATTAATACAATTTTTGACAAATTTAATGGTTTAATAGGCAAATTTATGTCTCGTCGATGGCTTGAAAAACTTGAATACATTTAAGTTTTATTGATTTGAGTATGATTTGGAGATATATATTTTTAGTCAAATTGTTTTAAAAATTCTAATTTTTTCATGCTTTTAGGATTCAAGTCTCCAAACCAATCATGATATCCGAATCAAATTCATGTACATTACACTACATGTATTTAATATAAATATTCATTTCTAATTTACATGTATCTTCTTTCCCTATTAAAAAAAAGGTCGATTGTATGTAAGGCACGGGAAATACGACAAATTCGTATACATAAACAAGTTTCGGTTTTTTTGGTAGGAAATCAAATGGCATGAATTTGCCATTTCATGTGTGTGATTCTGTCGTGTTATATATACGGAATTTATCGTTATACCTCAATTTCCATGAATTTATGTATGTGTCTTTTCTTCATCATTTCCTACCTATCTTCTTTCTTTCTTAATTTCATCTGCCCTCTCACAAACTTTCTTCTATAACGAGAACACACACCTCAATACAGACAGAGATGCATCGTGCACAAGACTGATGAGTACAATAACGACGGTGATAAGTAAAAATACAAAGTACGATCAAAACGTATAAATGATTAGCATTTATAAAACAATTTATGTCGTTTCTATTGCATTCAGCCCATAATGTTTCGATATTATGGTCCAAAGTATCAAATAACTGCGCTCAGAGGTTACTAAAAGTTTTCTTTCGTAATTGATTAAACGATAAAGTTTGGAATTATGTTAAATTCGAAGACATTCGTCTGCTTATTAACCATCATTTTCAAATTCACAGTGCCTCGAAAATTGGCGTCAAAATAATTCTGTGCTAAGTATATTGACATTTTTAAGTTTATAGAACACAAACCTGCAATTTATTGTATTGTGTTTATTATTTAAAAACTTATTATACTTCTTCTTTCTAACTAAGAATTTATTACGAAGCAAATTTTAGTTTAATAACAAGTATTCCATTCTCAAAAAATAATATTCATAATACATTAATTGGTATCGGCAATAAGTTATATACTTGCTGACTTAAAAAATTTGCGGTATTGATCTGTCTAAAAAATTGGCTCTATTATGAGCGTTCTACTGCTCATGATATAGAGAATGCACCAATTGTCAAAAAATAGGCGATTTTTTGAAGATGTCATGTAAATTGAATTAAGAGAATCATCTTAGATTAGTTAGATAAATTATTGATATCAAAGAAAATGTTGATTTCTTACCAACTAAATAAAAGATAGAATAATGGATTAGTTTAATAAATTATTAATCAAAGAAAGTTAAAATAAAAATTGCAATGAAAATCCTACGTTCTAAATAAAAGATAGAATAATCGTAATGGATTAGAAAGATTCGGACAATTGATCCAATAGGCTCATAATTTGCTTTGAATTGTATAATGGTTTCAACGTAACTTCTATCTGTTAATTACTTATTTTCTTTTGTAAACGAGGCAAAAAATGAAAGTAAATTATTTTTTTTGTTTCATATTAATTTAGAATCAATGAAATGGATTTTCGCAATACATGTACGTACATGTAATTTGCGTCAACTCACAATGGAATGTACATGCATTTAATAAATGCCAGGCGTATACAAGTTCTAATAAGGAAAGCTATTGATAGAAGAAACACGATTTGTCATCAATCTTTTTAATAACTCGAAAGTAATTTTATTGTATTGTATGTATAAATTAACAAAATTTATTTAGTATGGTCCCAAATAGGAACACGATGTTGTATGATGTTGTTTGTTCTAGTTAGCTAATATTAATTGTTTCTATTAAAACAAGGAAAGTGAAACAACCAATGAAACAATTCCGACCAAGTAGCTGCTTCTTACGCCACCAAAAGGAGCGGCAGCACTAGTTGAATTAGAGTTCAAACTTTCAGGTACTGAAACGGTACCATTAGGAGACGTATTCAACATTGACATTGATCCCTCCAAAAATGATTCACCGCATTTATTAGCCAAAGCATCTTTGATAGCAGGTTCTTCGCGGGTAAGCGGTGCGAGGTACTGATTATTGAATAGATCAGTATTATTTTTCTCGAAATTCAAGAATATCGTCATGAAACCCTTATTACAATTTGTGCACAGCATTTCACTAGGAATATTGTTTATAACATCTGACGCATTTTGATAATTTTTATAATTCATTACTGGATTTGCCGTTGCTGTGTAATTCATAATCGCGTTCTTGGTTTCAATCACGCAGTAGTTACCAGTGGTCGAATTCTTTAAACATAAGGCATCACGATATGGCGAATAAATCGAAATGAACCCTTTCATGGAATTCGCGATCGTATTTTGATTTGCTAGATCGCTAGCACATCCATTGATGACTTTTGTCAACGTGTTATTTACAACTTGGGCGCTACATTTTGGCATTGCACAGAGACTGTTTACTTGTGATGTATATATATCATCTGTCGAATTGCTTCCAGCGCCAGCGCTAGGGTATAAGTATTGGGCGAAGGATAGGAAAGGAAAACATGCGGTTAATTGTTGGTCGCCGAGAAGTGATTGAATGGTGCTTAGACAACTTTGGCTCACATCTAGCCCTCCGAAATTAGCGCCGTTTTGTGCTGAGCTTAAGTTTATCAATAAGCTTATAAGCACAACGGAAAATTTAAGGATATTTAATGATTTCATTTTTGACAAATGTTTTAATGAGAATGATGAAGTGAGTGAGAATTTATAGTGATTTATAAAACGAAAATCAATTTCGCTTTATCTTTGTAAGATTAAAATTTATTGTTGGGTTGGGTGATTGAAAAGACATCGCTCCTTTTATAATAAAAAAGCCTATTATTAATGCAGTGTAGCATACAACAAAACTATCTCCGGTAAATTGTTCCCTATACGTAACGGGGCAATATTTGTTATCCAATTTTGGCAATCGGCCTTTGTAACACATCTACTCACTTGTGCATATATTTTCGGGTATAAAGCATATAACGATTAAGTGACACAAAATCTCTACCATTTTCTTGTAGCTTTTAGAAAGCTAGCCGCTTTGAATGAGGAAATAAAGAAACACGCATATATTCTTCATTGGCATAAATATATTAATTACCTTTCTGTTGTGATTGTATTAAATTAATATCAACACATGCAAAATTATTCTCGATCTATTTTGTTGGACAAAATAATACATGTGCCAGAGTCGATGATTTTTTGTGATGATAAATAAATGGTGAATTATGTATGTAATAACATGAGATACCGATGCCAAATATTGTGATAAAATTCTGGCAAATTATTTAAGCATCCAAAAACAAAACTTGATTAAAATATTTTAAAATTCATAATTAGATTTAGACGATCACTTGCTTATGTTCTACTCTACAACTAGAAATTGTAAATTTAATGCAATACATGTATTAGATAAAAATCTAAATATAGCTTGAATAAATTAATTTCAAAGCCCAGAATACTCCCGAAGTAATGAATCAAATAGATTTTCCCAATTTTTAATATTTGAATATCTTTTTGACCAATAAAATCGCGAGCATCATAGTTCACCAATCAAATTCGACTTAAAAATGTAAACAAAAACAGAAATGCTCAATATAACGAATGCGGTTCAAAATCTGCTATATCGTGAGTTTATTAGTAAATCTGTTATATTGTGCTAGATTTATTGTGGCTATTTTGAACTTATATCGCGAATTTTAATTAGTCTCCGCTATGTCGAGAGTCACTGTGTATCTCAAAATTTTACCACCGTAAATCACCGCATAAACCACCCCGGAAATCTTTTGTATTAGGGAGGGTCTTTATTGGGGAATATTTTGTATTGGAAATCATGGTACCTGATGAATGACGAAACTTTTGCCAAGAAATTTTTGTTTTGACTAATTGAAACACTATAATACATGTTATTGTGATTATCGTTTCTTTTCTTGCTTTATATTACATAAGTTAAATATATATAATTTAGAGTTAAATAGTCAATTCGTCAGTAACATGATGAGAGGTTTCATGTATTATTAATACATACATGTATTGAATGTCGAATTGTGTGACATCTCCAGTATATTTTTCGCTATATGATCAATAAACATTTTGCTTCGTTCTACGTATTGTTATACATGTGATAAAAATAGACGATCAGCAGATAGTGAATACATGAACTGCGAATTATTTTTATGACATATCGATATCGATATACATGTAATTAGAAATTTTAATTGACCATCTGTCTAAAAGTTTGAAAAGTGATGATCTCAATGAAAACAATAAATACACATATATATATTTTAAATCAATTTTAAATGTCATTTTGATGAATATAAAAATAAATGTGTGTACCTGTATCAGTTGGGATCGATATTAATTTTGAAATTAAGACTTAACTGGTGTAAATTTTATTTGAGTGAATATCAAAGTGTAAAGTACTAGTTCTCAATCTTCATTGCAGATAGATTTGATAAAGTCATTAAGTTTCGGACATAAATTTGCATCATCCGGGAAAATAATCGTGGGTTGTAAATGTTGTGAAATTTATTAAGACCCCCCCTTTTTTTATTCAAAAAAAATTACGATTTATACTAATAATATTCATCCTTCGAAGACTCAGATGACTAATCTATGTGATTCAATACTGGATCTCTTGACATGTGATACCAGAATTTTACTTAATGCCCAGATCTTATTGCATTTCACCAATAATATAGAACCTGGTGGTGAATTATAGGGATCTTTTGTAATAGAAATAATTTATTCGGTGATTTTGGTCAATCTGGGGGATTTCTATAAATAGAATTTCCTTTTAAATAATGCATTAAGGGGAAATAAAAAATCGTCCGTAGCGTAAGCTAAGTATTATATATTATTCTGCCATATGTGAAAAAAATAGATTGTCACGTGGAATTTCCGGTTGTAACTGGTATAAATAAATAAACCAATTAAAAAAATTTATTGCTCTGGTGGCAAAAAAATGAGAATTTGAAAATTTATCAAAATTTAAGGAAAAATTACTATATATATACTTTAATATCTAAAAAAGTTTACTTACAGTGGCAATCAAAAAGTAATGCATCGGGAGCTAAATTTATTAATAAAAATTGAAATTTTCTTTATATTAAATTTATAATTTTATTAAGAAATAATTTTTATTTTTATATCAAAATAAAGTTTATTAGTTATAGTTTAGATTTTTTTCTAAAAGAGTTCTAATTACAAAGTTAGTGCAAAAATTTTTATTAATTAAATTTCATTTTTAATTAATAAAAATTTTTGTATTAACTTTGTAATTATAATAATTCTTTCAGAAAAATCTAAAAAATATATATATTAAACTATAACTAATAAACTTTATTTTGATATAAAAATAAAAATTATTTCTTAATAAAATTATAAATTTTAATATAGAGAGAAAATTTCAAATTTTATTATATTTTATTAATAAATTTAGCTTCTAATACATTACTTTTGATTATTATTATAAAATTATTTAAGAATATTAATATTATTTTTTAAATTAATTTAATAAAGTTAATTAAAAAATTTTATATATATTTTATATATAAAAAAGTTTCATATAAAAATAATTTTAATTATATTTTTCTTTATTACAAACTAAAAATTTATTAAATTATTATTAAAATTTTATTAAAATTTTTTATAATTTAATATAAATAAGCTTATTAAAATTATTTTTAAAAATTTATAAGTTTAAATTCAAGCTTATAAGAAATATTATTAGAATTTTTTATTAAATTATATTTTAATATTTAAAAATATATAAAATATTTTTTATTATATAAATAATAATTTTTTTATAAATTTTTATTTAAAATTAAAAAATTCTTATTATTTTTATTTCAAATTTTATATATAAATTAATATTAATATAATATTTTTATAATTTCTTTTTTCATTATTCTTAAGTTTCTAGTAATATAAATATTATATTTATTAAAATATTATAAATTTTATAATAAAAAATATTTATTATAAAATTATATATAATAATAATTATAATTAATAAAATATATATTTTTCTTAATATAAAAGTTTTTAATTTATTAATAATATTTTTTATTTTTAGTTCAAAAAATAATTAAAGCTACTTTAATTTAATATATATTTTATAATTTTTTTATTATATTATATATTTTTAATAAGATATTATATAAAAGTTAAGTTAAAAGTAAATAAATTTAATTTAACTATATAAACTTATATTTATTTTATTAATATTAAATAAATTTAAAAATTACAGAAAAGAATAAAATATCATTTTAAAAATATATAAATTATTAATATATAATACTTATTTATTTTAAAATATTAATTAACTATTTTATAAATTTTTTTTAAATTATAAAAAGTTTTAATTATTTAATTTTTTTTATTATTCTTGAATTTCTAATATATTTATTAAAATATTATAATTTTATAATAAAAAATATTTATTATAAAATTATATATAGTAATAATCAAAAGTAATTATTCAGAAGCTAAATTTATTAATAAAATATAGTAAAAATTAAAATTTTTTCTTTATATTAAAATTTATAATTTTATTAAGAAATAATTTTTATTTTTATATTAAAATAA